ACACTTCAGTAAAGTGTAGGGTGGACGTAGACACACTTCAGTAAAGTGTAGGGTGGACGTAGACACACTTCAGTAAAGTGTAGGGTGGACGTAGACACACTTCAGTAAAGTGTAGGGTGGACGTAGACACACTTCAGTAAAGTGTAGGGTGGACGTAGACACACTTCAGTAAAGTGTAGGGTGGACGTAGACACACTTCAGTAAAGTGTAGGGTGGACGTAGACACACTTCAGTAAAGTGTGATACAGTAAAGTGTTGGGTGGGGCGTAGACAGACACTTCAGTAAAGTGATACAGAAAACAGACACTTCAGTAAAGTATAGGGTGGACGTAGACACACTTCAGTAAAGTGTGACAGTAAACAGACACTTCAGTAAAGTGTAGGGTGGACGTAGACACACTTCAGTAAAGTGTAGGGTGGACGTAGACACACTTCAGTAAAGTGTGACTATAAAGTGTTGGGTGGGGCGTAGAGTGTTTGTATGATAAGTGGCACCCCGCGCGCGCCCTGGTGACAGAATACGCATTACCTACTTATGGAAATTTACGTTCAGATCGAAGGACTTATTTAATCACGACTTTTTTAACCAGATGTCTTAATTATCAGTAGAACGAAACCAGTTTAGCATTGCCCAAAAAAATAATAACGAATTTCCTTTTTATTCATTTAACACATAATTAAAAAAAAAAAAGAGAATAAATTGATTAAAATTTAAATTCCAATAATGTTATTGTTCGTTAAGATAAAAATTGCATTAATAATAATAATGAAATAAATTAGTATATTATAATCTAACAATTATAAAATAGTAATTACAGAAGGCAATTTTATTTAAAAGAGCTAATGATTACATGGGATGTTCTTTTTAATGTGATAAGATTATTATGATAAGAGGGAAAAGTAAGAATAATTTTAATGATTATTTAATGCAACTCTTAATAATAATAATAATAATATAAAAACAGTGATAATTTAATGTTAACTATAAAATATGAGATAAAGTATTGTTAATAATAACAGTAAAATATAATTAAATAATTTAATGGCTTTAATAATAAATTATAATGCTCTAATTTAATGTTAATAATAACATATGATGAGATAGTAACTATAACTTTATATAACTATATATAACTTTATATAACAGTGAATATAACTGCTTTATACAGAAAGTCTGTATGATAAAAATACAAATAATGATATTAGTAAAATTGATGATGTAATATTAGTAATGACAACAATAAAGTTAAAGTGTGAAGATCGGTGACACATGTTTATATAAGAAGTTTTTCCTGTGGTTGAATGTCTATAGGACTTTGTGAAGAGAATATGCGGCATTCCCTGGAACCTTGCAGGACTACACCTATCTGCTTGTATATTGTCTGTCCTTATAACCACCCACGATTGATACACATACACACGTATGTATATATGTATGTATTTATGCATGTGTGAGAGTTTGAGTGGATATAAATAGCAGCTGCCTAGTATGAGGCAAAAACGTCGTCTGCTGTTAACTTTATTTTCAGGTCCTTATATCTGATATATGTCTTATATATATATATATATATATATATATATATATATATATATATATATATATATGTGTGTGTGTATATCACGAAAATAAACACGTGATTAAGAATGTGACAATGTCAGACCACGGAGGAAAAATGAAACAGGAAATTTCCTTAAGTACTTTCGTATATTAAATACATCTTCAGAAGGTCATTTTACAGATCGAGTGATGGGTATAAATAGGCAGGAGAGAGTGGTGAAGTAAGGTGAGGTACAATACTTGGACAACGCAGAAGGCCCATTGGCCCATCAGATGCACCCAATTGGCCCATCCGATGTAGCCCAATGGCCCATCTGATACAGCAGACATACAAGCATAATACATAGGAAATTATAACATAAAGAGGTAAATATATACAATAAATTAGTGAGACAAATGTTTTTCAATGATTCTACTTAAATCGCCCTTTAGCTGATCTATTAGAAATGGATCTAAGTTATATAGACCACTGCTAATATTCAAATTACTTTCTTTGGTGATCTGTATCAAAGCGGATTCAATTATGTTTCTGTTATAGGTGCTTTTACAATTTGTTATTGAAGACGCACTCTCCCAATCAATTTGGTGAGCTTTTTCTGACAAATGCACAAACAAAGCATTAGATAATTGGCCATGTCTTACAGAGTATTTATGTTGCGATATTCTACATTTTAAATCTTTAGATGTTTACCTTGTAAGGAATGTAATAAGTTCTATGTCGGGCAAACATCTAAAGATTTAAAATGTAGAATATCGCAACATAAATACTCTGTAAGACATGGCCAATTATCTAATGCTTTGTTTGTGCATTTGTCAGAAAAAGCTCACCAAATTGATTGGGAGAGTGCGTCTTCAATAACAAATTGTAAAAGCACCTATAACAGAAACATAATTGAATCCGCTTTGATACAGATCACCAAAGAAAGTAATTTGAATATTAGCAGTGGTCTATATAACTTAGATCCATTTCTAATAGATCAGCTAAAGGGCGATTTAAGTAGAATCATTGAAAAACATTTGTCTCACTAATTTATTGTATATATTTACCTCTTTATGTTATAATTTCCTATGTATTATGCTTGTATGTCTGCTGTATCAGATGGGCCATTGGGCTACATCGGATGGGCCAATTGGGTGCATCTGATGGGCCAATGGGCCTTCTGCGTTGTCCAAGTATTGTACCTCACCTTACTTCACCACTCTCTCCTGCCTATTTATACCCATCACTCGATCTGTAAAATGACCTTCTGAAGATGTATTTAATATACGAAAGTACTTAAGGAAATTTCCTGTTTCATTTTTCCTCCGTGGTCTGACATTGTCATATATATATATATATATATATATATATATATATATATATATATATATATATATATATATATATATATATATATATATATATATATATATATCTTATATTATCGTTGGATAAGAAGGCCCCGGTCCTCACAAGCCTAGTCCATCCAGTCCGGGCCCACCACACAAGTAGCACGTGCAGGATGTATTAGCTGAAGTATACACCAGTGTATTTCCCCACATTATATACACCAAGTGTTGAAACTGTGTATGATGGCTGCCCCTTTTCTAGCTTGGAAAATGTCTAGGGGGTCGAGTCTAGCCTTCTATGATCCATTAATGTATAAATAGGGGTTATTATTCCCCCATTTATATATATATATATATATATATATATATATATATATATATATATATATATATATATATATATATATATATATATATATATATATATATATATATATATATATATATATATATATATATATATATAATCACAGGGGAGGGAAATGCTTGTGGTTTACAAAGATGGTATCCGTTGGTGAGGGTAAACTAAGCCGTTGTCCCTGAAAAGGTTACAGATTGTATCTTGAGAAATGAGGTCAGGTTGGTAGAGTCGAGAGTTGTGCTGAGGAGAGAGGTGGGTACTACACCGTAGGCAGTACACCGTAGGCGGTGCATCGTAGGTAAAATACCGTATAGTAAATAGTAGGGAGTTGGTTGTAGGTAGTACATCGTAGAACATTGTAGGCAGTACACAGTAGGTAGTACACCGTACGCAGTACATTAAATTGTAGGTAGTATATCGCATCGGAGGCAATGCATCGTGGGTAGTACACCGTAGGCATTATATGTTGTAGGTACTACATCGCATCGTAGCCAGTACACACCGTAGGCAATGAGAGAGAGAGAGAGAGAGAGAGAGAGAGAGAGAGAGAGAGAGAGCAATGAGGGGGACTCATGAGGAAGCGGCCAGCGCCCACCTTCCCTCACAATGCGACATCCACCCCACAGAATAATAGACCACGGCTGCCCTGTTAATGAGCTCTGCTATTTCTCCCGTCACGTGTACTGCCCAGCCTTAAGTACCTTTCCGTGATCGTCCTGGGATCTTAATCACCGTCTCTCTCTCTCTCCCAAGTTCTACAGAGGGACTTTAAATACTAAGTTTAGATTTGATCTTGTTGTGTATTCCACTGTAGAATGTTATTACATTGTATATATTCTACTTTTTGATATATATATATATATATATATATATATATATATATATATATATATATATATATAAAATTGGTGTATACTGGCAGCAAGTTTTTATTTATACATCTTTCATTGAATATGACTGCATATTCTGTATTGATTATTTTCTTGTTATATATATATATATATATATATATATATATATATATATATATATATATATATATATATATATATATATATATATATATATAGGCATTATTTTATTTATGATTTTAAATGCTTTGATTACACTAGTCAGTAAGTTTAATACGTAGGAAATATTTAAATATAAAGTCTACACCCTGTTTCTCGGTGTATATGTATAGCTGCCTGTTCGCCAGGATGGTTTTAAAGTGGCTTAAATCACCCTACAGAGGTTGATAGGCCTTAAGCCCAACACCCCGCCAGAAAATATACATTTTTTATTTTTGTGTTTTTGTTACATACGACCTGTATGTAACAGGTCGTTACATACGATGTAACTGGTGTTACATATGACCTGTTTATGTAACACCAGTTGCTTAGTTGTGCAGTTATTGGTATTTAGCAGCTGTCCGCCACACTCTCGCTACAGTTTTCAACTTAAGTTCAGATCATTAATTGTGGTAGTGTATTCCAACATTGTCTGGTCAGTGATTATTTCTCCTTTTTACCCCTCTCTTTTCTCCCTGTTAATGTTTACTCTAGACCAAGGGTCGGTAGACTGAGTGGATAGTATTTCCGGTTGTCACGATGTTACGCTCATCATGGTGCAGTCGGTAGTACTTGGGCGAGTCCAGGGACGCGGGTCCGATCCCATTCTATGGCCTCAACATTTTATATCATATCATATCTTCCGTGGTAGTTGGTTCAGAGGGGGGACATCATATCATTTTTGGTTAAATGAAAAGTCTAGTTTGTTTGACTCTTGTATTTAACAAAGATTCTACAATATTATACAAGTCAATAAATAAGGGAATGAGTGACTTTAGTGGAGGTGAGTGAGAGGCGAGGCGATGATGCCACCGCCCAACAGCAACAGTCTGGTTGTTAAGTACACACAGCACTCGGAGATCCTCCTCGGCTCGGCAAACACCTGACGCCAGACTTGTCAAGTGTCACTCAAGCTCACACGAGCCATCAATTAGTCCTAAGGTTATAATGTAACAAAATAACATTTTTAAATTTTTTGCTTGTCACTATGCATATAAAAAAAAATCTTCAAGGGCTGACTAAACACAGGGAGCTACACATTGACATGATAAAGGTAGGCGAGAGGGGAGGGGGGAGGGGGGGGGTGCCGGCCCCAGGGGGGGGGGAGCGTCTCTGAGAGTGCCAGCCCCTGGGGGAACGTGTCTCTAGGAGTGGCAGCCCTCGTGGGAAGTGTGTGAGAGAGTGCCAGTCCCCGTGGGTAGCCCCCCTGGGGGGGGGAGGGGGGAGGGGGTTTAAGGTACCCAGAAGTGAGCCAAGCTACTTAAGCTCGCCTACTTACACTTGGAGTGTCATCATTAGTGATCACGGGCGGTGAAGTAGTCAGTCAGTCTTGTGCAACGGAGAGGGGGGTTGCAGGGCTGTAGAGAGGGGGCGGGGGAGAGGATCCCAGCCCCCCCCCCTCTCTGCTTACATGAATGAGGGGTTTTCAACCCCCTCTGTGCTCACAGGGAGAGTCTCTCAACCCCCTCGCACTCTTCCCACAGTTTACTACACCTCAACGACACACAACAGAGACATACAATGTCTACCTTAAATGTTTCAAGATGACCAGAGAACTATTTACATATAAAACTACTCACAAACTTATCACAGCTGCAATAAACTGAGCACCGCGACGGACCACAGTGCATATAAATAAGAATAATATATGTTGAAGGTATTTTCGCAAAACTAGAAGCCACTGGTAGAGGTATGGTCACACACGGGTCGGAGCAGAGCTAAAGTTTGGCACACACACACACATTACACACACTCACTATGTACACTATTTACAGTGTGGCGCGTGCCGGCCGCCCCACGCCTCTCCACCCTCTCTCGCACACCCACGGTTCATGTGGCCGCTGTCGAGTGGGGGGTGTGGGTGGCCTCTGATGGGTGGGGGTGTGGGTGGCCTCTGATGGGTTGGGTGTGGTGGCTGCCGCCTTGTGGGGGTGTGGGTGGCCTCTGATGGGTGGGGACGTGGGTGGCCTCTGATGGGTGGTGTGTGGGTGGCCGCCGCTGGGTGGGGGTGTTGGTGGCAGCCCTCAGTTGAGATTTGGGTGGCCGCAGTTGAGTGGGTTATGGGTACCCGCCACTATGGGTCACGAGTGCCGGCCTCCGGTTGTGATATGGGCGGCCACATAAGAATTGGCGGGCGACCTCACAGCTTCTCCAAACTTTTTGAATTCGTCAGGAGTTCCCGCGTGAGTCTCCATGCCTGTTTGGCGGCAGATTCCAGCGCAGGCGGCGACGCCCCCCGCAGGAGGTTGATGTTGGGGAGAAAATAATGCGGGCAGCGGCGGCACTGAAGGCATGTAATAAGCTGTAGGAATATCCCCACCAGGCGGTCACCCAGCGCCCCCTCGTCCCACTCTGCCTCCCGCGGGTGCTTCTCACACTCGTACAGCATGAGGGTCTTGACGGCGTAGGCGGGCACGGGGTCCCCTGGCAGGTCCAGGTGGCGGTCCCGCAGGGTCTTCAGGATGGCCAAACACCGCTTGCGGGAGGCCCCATACAGCAGGCGGTTTTCAGCGTCATTGAAGGATAAGACCCAAGCGTCACCCTCGAGTCCCCCTCCGTTCTTGCCGGCGACCGTGCCGCTCTCCTTACTCAGGAGGTCGAAGCCCTCGGTCTTGACCTCGGCCACGAGGCTTGGCGGCGGCCAAGGAACATGCGGGGAGGGCCAGTGTGCGGCGGAGCGGGGCCATACGCCAGAGCACTTGAAGGCTGGCGTTATCTGCACCACATAGCGGTCCCGCACCCGCAGCCGCACCTCGCTCGTGTCCCCAACCATCCTGACGGAGTCGCGGTAGGTGCACTTGTCTATGGATTGGGCCACGAGTGTGTGGAGTCTTGACCGCATCTTCCGCGCGGAAAGGTAGCCAGACGCGGTGATAAACTCCACCCACAGTGACATGGACCGCTTGCGGCCGTCGCTAAGTTTAAGAACAGCGCTGCCGGGGATACTGCCGTCGTCGACGAAGTTAAATTCACCCATCTGGTTGAGGTAGAGAATGGCCTCGAACTCGGTGGGGGAGACGACGTTGAGGCCCTCGAAGCGTCCGTTGACCTCCGCCAAGGAGGATATCACCCGAGGCTCCTGCACCTCCACTTCCTTCAGCACATCCTGCACGACCTTGACCACTTCTCGCAGTGTCTTTGCAACAGCTGCCCGGCGGGCGGCCACTCGCTCGCTGGAGTACTTGTTGACCTGGTACAGCATGCGTGACTGTGCACCTTGCATATCCGCGGGCACCAGCATCACCAAGAGTAGTGGCTAGGACGACCTCAGGTGGGTATGGGTGCCAGGGCCAAGTAGCGGTGGGCACGTGACGGTGGCACCTGCCTGCCACTCGATACAACGGGACTTCCTCGCAACCTCGCGTTGCTAATTACTGATGCGTGAGTTGCGCCTGCAGGAGATGCAATGTGGGCGGAGCCTTGGGGCGGCGCGCCTCCCACTGCCCCGCCCTGGTGTCACGCCGCTGCGTTAGGAGCAGGACACCGACAGGACATCCATCTTGTCAGGACCCGCGACCTGTTCTAGCGCGCACGCCGATCGATGAAACTATGACTGTTGTCACGCGGTGGCTGCCTCAGGTACTCTGGATTGACTGATTGATTTTGTCCAACAGCGACGACTTGGCGGGCATTTTTTTTATTGTTATTCTGCAGGAGCTGTTCGGGCATTAGCACTGTTGTAGATATTCCGTTCTGGTGAGGAGGTCACGGGTGAGGCGCCAGGTCTGTGAGGCGCCCTGGGTGAGGCTCTGGCGAGGAGAGCCGCGGAAGAGGTCCACCTGCGGCAGGAAGTAGTGGGGACACCTGCGGCACAGCAAACATGATATAAGCTGCAGAAGGATACCGTTAATACGGTCTCCTAAGCTGATGGTGTCCCATTCCCACTCGTGCGGGTGCTTCTCGCACTCGTAGAGTACCAGTGTCTTGAGTACATACGAGCTCACTGGATTACCGGGCAGGTCGAGGTGCCTGTCTCGTAGAGTCTTGAGGATTGAGAGACACTTCTTGCGGCATCCCTGCGTCAGGAGTCTGTCCTCAGCCTCCATGAACACCATCACCCAGGTGTCACCTTCTGCTGTAATGGCCGCGTCCTGCTTCTCCTTGTCCTTGTCTCTCGCCAAGTGGGAACAGTCACGTGACACGAGGGTGAACCCTGACATCTTGACCTCGGCCGCCAGCTCGACCCCAGGCCAAGGCAGGGAGAGTTCCGGCCAGTGGGCGGCCGATCTCGGCCAAATACCGTAGCACTTGAAAGCCAGAGTGAGGTCAAGGGTGTAAGTGTCACGGATCCTGACACGTACTTCAGAAGTGCCGCCGACCATCCGTAGCTGGTCACGGTACTGGGATTTCTCGACCGCCTGAGCCACCAGCGTCTGAAACCGTGCGCGCATTTTGCGGGAGGAGAGGTAACCCGACGCCGTGATGAACTCCACCCACAGCGACATGGAACGCTTGCGACCGTCGCTAAGCTTCAAGACGGCACTCCCTGGCACCGTGCCGTCGTCAACGAGGTTGAACTCGCCCATTTGGTTGAGGTAGATGGTGACTTGGTACTCGTTGGGGGAGAGGATGTGGAGGCCCTCCCAGCGGCCGCCGGCCTGGGTTAGCGTGGAGAGACACCGCGGCTCCTGCGCCTCCACATGTTTCATGAGGTCATGGGCCACCTGTACTACCTCTTCCACTCGCTTGTTGACGATCATACGCCGCTTGGACACTTGCTCGGCGTAGAATTGCTCCAGGGCAGCTACCAGCTTGCCTGAGCCGCTGGAGACGCCGTCGCTGGGCACCAACATGGTGTGTGGGTACTCTGTCTCCTCCGCGCGCACACACAATATTCTCCTAGCCGAGCCGGGCAGGGCAGAGGCGTGTAACTTATTCCACTACGCTTCGCGAGGCGCTGCTTACAAGTCCCTCGCACACAGTTAGGATCGAAAACTTGATTTGGGGCTTAAATCTCCGTGAGTAATTACTATATAATATCCATTTAGTTCACTGATAAGTTGGCTCCTCTAAACTACGACTTCGTCTGTTCCCTATCCTTGGGATCTACTGGCTATGAGTGACGTCAAGGAGAAACCTTCTCTCCATTGGCCAGCGCCGGGTGGGCGGAGTGATCGATAATCCAGAGCGGGCGGCCGCGCAGCCATTGGCTGCTGGGTTCTATGGTGGGCGGGTCCCTTCTCGCGCTGGGCTGTGGTTGGCCGACGAGCTCAACGAGTCGGCGAATGCCAAGAGTGATTAGTTGTGAATCGTTGACGAGTTGACAGAAGTTACGCGTGGCCCCGCCCCCCCTTCTGAGAAGTGCCCCGCTCTCCACCTCACACGTAAATTAATAGAGTATCGGGTCAAACAAAGGAAGACAAGGCCTGTAGTGCCGACCTGTGAATCAAATACCAGGTTTAGCCGAGAGACGCGAGCCAGCCCGGAGGTGGTATTGGGACATCGTACCATACACCCCTTAAAACACCACCCCGCCCTCGCCACCCCGCCCTCAGCCTTTCAAGTGTACTCAGCTGTGATATTCACTCAATTACACTCAAGGAATTTCCCCGTAAGTGAAGTGTCGAGTGAATCTCAAGGTTAAAACAGAACACAACAAAAATTCGAACTAAACTCTCGCATGAATAAATATAATAAATCAGTTTGTTCGTAGCTGCTTATTGTAGTATTTATCCTAATGTAATCGCTCGCAAGACATGGATTTAATTTGTATCCTGTGCAGAGTCAACCCAGGCACCGGTCACCCCTGGCACTGGTGCCACAACGGTGAGTCAACCCAGGCACCGGTCACCCCTGGCACTGGTGCCACAACGGTGAGTCAACCCAGGCACCGGTCACCCCTGGCACTGGTGCCACAACGGTGAGTCAACCCAGGCACCGGTCACCCCTGGCACTGGTGCCACAACGGTGAGTCAACCCAGGCACCGGTCACCCCTGGCACTGGTGCCACAACGGTGAAATAAGCGAGGCACAGCTATGAAGCAACATCAGAGAACTTTAGAAAAAAAATACGATTTTTTTTTAATTCAACGTGGATTTTTAAATATAAAAATTCCGTTGGAAGTTTATATTTGAAAACTGAACGTTGACAGTTTAAAAATGACGTTGGCGTTTGAAAATTTAATGTTGAGTTAATAACCGACGTTGCCTGTTGAAAATTGAATGTTAAGTTACAAAATGACGTTGACAGTTGAGGATTTAACATTGACAGTTAAAAAAATGGCGTTAAAACTCTCGAAATACAATCTAAACGGAAAATGCACGCGAAAAAGACGTTTCCCAAACAAATGGAACGACGTAAAAACGTCGCACACACATCTAAACGACGTCCCTATAGGATTGTGAGTTTTGTACCAAGACTCGAAATGTTATTTTGTCCCAAGTGCACACATTCCCCTTCGTCAGGAGGAACTCCTTCGAGTAGCTCCAACGAGTCGTATTCTACGAGGAGTTCCTACTAGTAGCTTCTTGGAGAAGCTCCTACAGGTAGCTACAAGTAGCTCCTTCAAATAAAAAAGAGGTAGCCTGCATAAGAAGCTCCTAAAAGCAGGTCCTAGGAGTAGCTCCCGAAGGCGCTGTGGTCGGGACGGTGTCTGTGTTGGGTCAGAATGTTCTTCACACCAAGGCTGTCTTCAGGGTAAATTGCTCGTGTCCGAGGACGACAGTTTTGTCCCCCCACTTGTGACACAACCAGTACCCAATGTGGGTACTGGTTGTCTACCCAATGTGGGTACTGGTTGTCACTCAGATGGGTCACCAGGAGACACCAGTGACAGGTGAACTTGGGCTGCCAAATTGCGAGTCACTGTTCTAAACACAATTCAGAAGCGACTGTACTGTCGTCTGTAATTAAGGCTTTCATCTACCTGTACCTTAAACTCAGTTGGAGTCCGCGATACAGTCAGTTGCTATATTACAGAGAGAGAGAGAGACCTGTATTCAGTCATGTATAGAAGATACATAATTCGTTTCTAACTTTCACTTTGTCAAAATATATTAGTTACCGTTTTTTTTTTAAGTGCTAAACCCAATATTTAATAATTTTTAGAACTAGTTAATTACGGAAAGTACTTGTGCAACATTGTAATCCCTTAGTGACAAAAATTATTTGCATAATACTTTGCACAATTTTGGCTTAAAGAATATAATTTTTGCCACTATTTTTGTGAGTATATTTGCCTTAAAAAGAGCCAGGAGGTGACTTCATAAGAATAAGAGAGACCCGCAGGCGGCTCATATTGACCCATATGAGGCAGCTCCTAGTTGTAACTGGTAGTTAGAACGGATCAGCTGTCTGTCTTGCTCTAGAAAGCAGCGAGGGGCTTCTAATAATTTTCTTAATCGAGGTCATTCCTCTGGAGACACTTTTCTTACCCATGCAATCTTCCAGGGGTTAAGAAACACCAATATATAGTAATAATTGATGTCTTATAATACTTGATCAATTGTGAGAGAAAATTTGGCAAAAAACTAGATTCTGTGGAAGACTTATATAACACTTTTCAGTTATGAAAAGGGTAAGGTAAGGTAATTATGATGAGAAAGCACTGAACGGAAAATTTCATTTGTGATGAAGCTTATGTCCGTTTAGGCGTCCAGAGAGAGAGAGAAAGATAACTTAATATTTGAGCCAGCAGTGATCGACGTATTAGCTCCTGGGCCCCGTCTTTCTAACCGTCGGTTGTCTAATGTAGTGACTCCCGACCTTTTTTCCTCATCATGTCTACTACATATATTTTTCTCTCTCTCTTACACACATCCAGGAGCCCGTAGCACCTGTCTAAGTCCCAGGTACCTATTTACTGCTAGGTGAACAGCGGCATCAGGGGTGAAAGAAACTTTGCCCATTTATTTCTGCCTCGGCCTGGAATCGAACCCGGGGACTACGAGCGCTGTCCACACACCCGCGAGACCCCCCCGTGTGTGTGTACTCACACTGGGGGCCATATAGTGTACTCATGAACATACAGGGGTACTCATACAGTGTGTACTGTGTGTGTGTGTGTGTGTGTGTGTGTGTGTGTGTGTGTGTGTGTGTGTGTGTGTGTGTGTGTGTGTGTGTGTGTGTGTGTGTGTGTGTGTGTGTGTGTGTGTGTGTGTGTGTGGCTGGGAGGGGAGGACAGTCAGCCGTCTATTCACCACCGTCACATTTACCGTATTAGGGGGACACACTAAACCTAAATAGATTCATCATAATGTACCATATTGACACACAGCTGTGTACCTCGTTCACTGTGTACCTCGTTCACTGTGTACCTCGTTCACTGTGTACCTCGTTCACTGTGTACCTCGTTCACTGTGTACCTCGTTCACTGTGTACCTCGTTCACTGTGTACCTCGTTCACTGTGTACCTCGTTCACTGTGTACCTCGTTCACTGTCCGAATGCCCGTTCATATATATATATATATATATATATATATATATATATATATATATATATATATATATATATATATATATATATATATATATATATGTCGTACCTAGTAGCCAGAATGCACTTCTCAGCCTACTATGCAAGGCCCGATTTGCCTAATAAGCCAAGTTTTCATGAATTGTTTTTCGACTACCTAACCTACCTAACCTAACCTAACCTACCTTTTTGGGCTACCTAACCAAACCTAACCTATAAAGATAGGTTAGGTTAGGTTAGGTAGGGTTGGTTTGGTTCGGTCATATATCTACGTTAATTTTAACTCCAATAAAAAAAATTGACCTCATACATAATGAAATGGGTAGCTTTATCATTTCATAAGAAAAAAAATAGAGAAAATATATTAATTCAGGAAAACTTGGCTTATTAGGCAAATCGGGCCATGCATAGTAAGCTGAGAAGTGCGTTCTGGCTATTAGGTACGACATATATATATATATATATATAATATGAGTGTCAGACCACGGAGGAAGAATTGAAACAGAAATTTCCTTAAGTACTTAAGTATTTAATAATTCATCTTCTTCCTTTCTGAAGATGTATTATTAAATACGAAAGTACTTAAGGGAATTCCTGTTTCAATTCTTCTTCCGTGGTCTGACACTCATATTATATATATATATATATATATATATATATATATATATATATATATATATATATATATATATATATATATATATATATATATATATATATATATCACATTTTCTCTCAGGGTAGTTAGCAAATGGAATGCATTAGGCAGTGATGTGGTGGAGGCTGACTCCATACACAGTTTCAAATGTAGATTTGATAAGAGCCCAGTAGGCCTCAGAATCTGTGCAACAGTTGATTGACAGTTGAGAGGCGGGACCAAAGAGCCAAAGCTCAACACTCGCAAGCACAACTAGGTGAGTACTCACACTCAATACAAATCAATTAGGAGAAGGTGGTTAATTGGCGTGGTTTAGTCTCTAATGGGTAGTTAAGACTGATTACTTGTTATTGCGTGAACGATATCTAGTTCTTGCTTGCCCGATAGTAGTTCAACCACTTGGGCTGGACGGTAGAGCGACGGTCTCACTTTATGCAGGTCGGCGTTCAATTCCCGACCGTCCAAGTGGTTAGGCACCAATCCTTTTCCCCCGTCCCATCCCAAATTCTTATATCCTGACCCCCTTCCCAGTGCAATATAGTTGTAATGGCTTGACGCTTTTCCCCTGATAATTCCCTTCCATTGCCCGATAGTAAGCTATCGCGTGAGGGATATCCTGGTTATTGCGTGAGTTATATCTTGCTATTGCGTGCGCGATATCCAGTTATTGCGTGCGCGATATCCAGTTATTGCGTGCGCGATATCCAGTTATTGCGTGCGCGATATCCAGTTATTGCGTGAGCGATATCATGTTTTTGTTTCTGCGATATCTTGTTCTTGCATAATGCGTGAACGACATCTTGTAATTGCGTGAGCTCTGTCTTGTAATTGCGTGAGCTCTGTCTTGTAATTGAGTGAGCGATATATATAGTTATTGCGTGATTGCGCAATAACTTGTTATCGCGCGCTTGCTTCAGCGCTATCTAATTATTGCTTCAGCACAGACTTGTTCTAGTACCTCAGTGATAT